GCACTAGCGGTCCGATGTTGAACGTCGCAGATGCAAATGGGTCGGCAGTCTTTTTCCCCCCTCGGCAACTGATCACTAGGCTATTACTATTACAATAAGCTTGTCTTGACGTAGATCTACGTAATGAATTGTGCCCTGGTCAATGGAATCAAAACTTGCCGTATGCTGCTAGGCTCTACACAGCAACACCACTTTTTAGTAAACAATCGAGATGACTCAGGCGTGCGCATTTCAACGAATCTTCTTCTTTTTTTTTTTACACAGCCCATAATATGCCGGCATTTCAGGCACTACTTGTGACTTCTCTACATTACTTGCTCAGTGCCTGTAATTATCTACACAAAACCTCATGTTTGCTATAACTTATAACGCACACTCGGATTCAACGAGATTTTAGGTCAGACCCGGCGACCTCGTTGAATCCGAGTTCCACTGTAGCAGGATTGTCGTTATAACTTAAATATAAGGGATCCAGTAATAAATCCAAGGGAAATAGTAGTACAGTAGGCCGAATCTATGGGTCTGGTTTTATGTTTGTTTCTCATTGTAATCTCCCCTGATGATGACTTGGTTCCACGTGATCTCTAGGTCTTGCTTGATCAAAAATGAAATAAGGTTTCTTTCTCCAGCGCTTGCGATGTTGACAGCTCGGCGTTGGCGACCAGAAAGAAAGCCCTCTACCATCTAGATTTCTAGGCTAAGTTCTCTCCCGCTGTGTTGTCCCCCACCCCACCACACCCTGTGGTGCGTTCCGTCTGCTTGCGCACGTCACACATTCGCTCCATCTATCCTGTCACAGTCACATAGTTTTGACCTCTTTACCCTGCGTAGGATAAGTGAGAGGCGTGGTAGGCCTAGATAATCTTCTTACTTCTAGACTGGGCTGGCCTATCACGCGATGCGTTCTGCTTGTCTACTGTCTACAGGACAGGTGCATACCACGTCCTCCCCACTCATTCTCTCCGGCCTTCATTAGTTCATTGTTGGCACACATGGGCTCTCCCATTCTTTCTTTCGCAAGATTACCAACTGGCGAGGTTTTGCATGAATAAATGGCCTATATGCACTGTGCACAGAAGCAGTAATATTCCGCTATAACTAGTATTACCGACTCGCATGTTTGTCTGATTGCGCAATAGCAGTATTTTATTTACAAAGATAAAGAAGGGAAAAAACGGGGTTTTAGAATAGTGTCTTTATAGCAGACTTCTCGTTATTTCAGGAACCGTTATAAGTGGATTCCACTGTATTTGTTGAAGTCCAAAGATCCCTACAGGACCATCTACCAGTCACAGTTAACATAATGAACCATACTCCAGAGGCACCATCATGGGAAAAGAAAAACACAAACATATTCTATACACTTAATACACACGTCCATTCCTATGTTCACCACAAAAGATGACCACAGCGACCTGAGCAAGAAG